GAAAAAAAAAAAAAAAAAAAAAAAAAACCCAAAAAAACAACAAAAAAAAACAGGTCACATGGGTTACCCTTTTAAAAAAAGGCAAGCGAGAAAAAGACGACGACGTGTTGGTGTCGATTTCCTCACCCACGTTCCACCTGCCTCCCTTGCCCACATGTACACACACCTGGGTCTTCAGGGGTCCCTGAAAAGACAGTCTCACCCCGAAAGGACCGAAAACTGAAGCCGCTCCAGATGTCTACTTCACCTGCTACCTAGGTAAAACTGAGGCACCTGCTGCCTCCCCAGCCTCCCCATCCAGGATCCAGGCACAGGGACAAAGGAGCTGCGAGCCGTTCCCGGGAAGCAACCGAGACCAATGAATGCCCTTCTAGTTCTAGGATGCTACCGGTTTCCTTTATCCTCCCCAAAAATTCAATGCTCAGGCTGAAAATTCCTGCTACCTCAAAAATAAAATCTCATCTTTCTTTTTTTTTGGTACCGGGGATCGAACTCTGGTCCTTGTGCTTGCGAGGCAGGCCACCGAACCGCTGAGCTAAATCCCTGGCCCAAAATCTCATCTTTCTAACACCACCAACTGCCAGGGAGAATATAAAGCCAGAATTCAGGGCTGGGCAACACTGTTGGAAACACGAACCCCGCTAAGCAGCAGAGCACAGGCCTAGCAGGTGAGAAACTCTGGGTTCCGCCCCCAGCACTGAACAGAACAAAAGCAAACAGAAAGACACACGCTTATTTTTTCAAAGTCAAATCCCAAAGGCGCTGAGGACCAAGCACCCATCACCTCCTTGGTGACCTCTCAAGCACAGCACTCACTAGCTGGAAACCTGGAGCCACCTCACCTGGGCAGAAGGCAGAGCTCACTTCCTGTGCTCACTCTCTGCCCCTAGGAAATGCCACTCACAGGTCGGGAGCAGCACAGTCCCTAGGCACACCACACTGGAAGGCAGGGCGCTGCCCTGTCCAGCCTGCCTTGCGCCACCACGCCCTCTCCCCAACAGCCTCACTCCCACTCCTACAGACAAGCACACTGGGAAGCTGCTGTCCAGCCACTTGCTTTATCCCTCAGGCTGCCAGAAAACTAGGGGCTTCTGAGACCAGGTGAGTCCAACCTCCCCAGGTACTTCCCAACATGAACGGAAACAACTCACTAGAACAAAGCAAATACTGACGCCAGCAAGCAGGCATTCGAACGCTGTCTGCCAAGAACGGCAGTGGGTGACCAACCTAAGGACTGTGCTCTCTGCTCAGATGAACTCTGCAGAGGACCCAGAGGTTGGGTCACGTTCCCGCGCCCCCGGGGAGGGCCACCCCGGCAGCACTGGTCTGACAGCAGCGGAGCCCAAGGGCACGCAGCACGAGGGGCATCACTTGTGCTCGGGCTGAGCCTCTGGGGGTCTGCGCAAAGGCCCTGCACTGATCCACGACTGCCAGTTAATCAGACAGTAAGTACAGGGCTGATTTGCTGGGTGCTGCAGTGAAAGGAGAAGCACAGTGAGTCCCCGACTTAGGAACACCCACAGTGAGAACTTCACAGATACAAACAGACCCCACGTTTGGTGTTTTATGCTTTACCCACCCTGTGGACTCGGGTCAAAACCATGTAAGACTGACTGAGACGGATGAACACCAAACTTGTGAATACTTCCCAGAAGGGAAGTTTGTAAGTCGAGGACTGGCTGTAATAGAACAGTTCCCACCTCCATTTGCTAGCAGACACTTCGCAAAACAGTCTCTAAGGTCCAGGCACAGGGAAGGCTGCAACCAACACTCAACAATACAGAGGGCTAGGGCTGTTTCCTAACTCGGACGCTCTGCCCGTCGCCCTTCTCTGCCTCCGACATCAGGGACCCAGGGACAAGTCCCGCCCTGAGGCTCCTCCCAGGACAAGGCCTGCCCGACCAGGGCTCCCTCAGGCTGCCCCTGCACGAGCAGCTCCACGCCAATGCTTAGCTTGAGGCTCACGACCCGGCCACGCCAGGTTGTGCTTTCGCTACACAACCTTCCCGGCAACGCTCACTTGGAGAGGAAAGCAACCAACAGACCAGGGGAGTCCGTCCCGCCCAGAAACGCTGGCTTCTCCGCAGGGCGGTGGAGAAAGGGTGATGGACCGGGATCTCGCCGAGGTCCCCTGCGGACGGCGGGCCGGCCGACCTACCTTTTGTAGAAATGGAAGCGCTCCGTGAGGAGCAGGAACTGCTTCTCTCCATGAAGGAAGAAGTGCCTGGCCCTGGAGACCGCAGGCCGCTGGCTGTACTCGCAGATGTGGGTGAAGCTCAGCTCCTCCCTCCTGAAGTAGTTCCGGAGACGCACGAAGTCGAAGTAGGAGGGCACGTAGACGAGCGTGTGCGACATGACGGCGTCGCGGTACTGAGGCAGAATCTTGTTCACGAAAAAGTTGAACCTGCAAAGGGCAAGGTTAACGGTCCAGAGCTAAACAAGAAAACGGTCTGGCGCCGGGCTGTGGCCATCGGCTATGATCCCGGCGGTCAGCCTCACGTTCAGTTACGCTGGGGCCAGGGACTTGTCCCCTAAAAGGATCAGGTATGGATGAAACCTGATACAAACACTGAAAAGTAAGTGCTAACACTGCCCACTGTGCAGCACAGCTGTGACGCCTTTCTATCCTGGAGACGCTGTGTCCTCCCTCCCTCCGCCAGCCAGGGAAAGCACTGCCGCCATGTATCCTAAGCCCCATCATGCTCACGAATCAGAGCAGGGAGGGGAAGGGGGAAACGGGGTGGGGCACACAACTGGGACACAGCTGTGGCCCTGAAAGGCTTACAGTGATGCGGCTGATGTGGGACACGTGGCACACAGTGGCTAATGTGACATTAACTGCCACAGGCACGGGGCAGAGATGCTGCTCAGTGGCTCAGCACCAACCTGGCAAGAGCAAGGCTGAGTTCAATGTCTGGTACAAAAAAAAACCCAGATAAAATTTAAAAATAAGTTTTAAAAAATGCCACGGGCAAGCGGGAAGGAGCACTGATTCGCAGGCCTAGTCACCACTTCTGAGTCCAGTGAGCTCAGCTGATCTGCTCGTTCAATCAGTCGAAACCGGTCTCCCCACACAGCCCAAGGAGCCCAGCGGGAGGAGGATCACCTGGCATCCATCACGGTCGCCAGGTTCTCAGTGTCCATCCTCTGGAACACGTGTGGGAGCTGCACCAGCACGTGACTGATGGAGCCCGTCACGGGGACATTCCGCACGGCCACCTGCCAGGGGTCACGAGAACGTCAGGCCAAAGGCACTGCTCGGCGGCCTGCCCTTGACCTCAGTGATCGGAGCTCTGTGAGGAGCAGAGGACAGGCACCCACCTGGCCTTGCAAGTTGACGCAGTACTTGCTAAACACCGAGTTGATCTGCGCATCCTGCAGAGCCCCAAACAGCAGCGTCTGTCGATAGTACCTGGCCCAGTTATTGAGGCTCCACACCCGCACTCGAGAGAAGTCCACCCCATGGGAGTCCCGGGGCAGGAGGTTCATGTGGTCCATCAAGTGCTTTGGGCAAAGGGAAGGCGGCATCAGTGTGCACCAAGTACGCTGGGCAGCGCTGAGCATGTCACAAGCCTGGCGTCTCCTCTCACCCAGAGGACCTCAATCACTTTCTCAACTGCAGCAGGAACCCGAGGGGTACGTGGGTGAAACAGGCCGCCCCCTGGACCTTCAGCAGTACCCAGCGGAAGTCCTCTCAAAGCTACTTCTGGTCACTGTGCAGGCCCCAGTCCCACACAGGGACAAAAGGGCAAGGACACGGAAAACAGCAGCTCTTTCAGTGACCTACAATGGCCCAAAGCCTTGTGTCTGGAAGGTAACTATATTATGGGGGCATCGGACTGACTTGCTGTTGGGGCCCGGCTAACAGAGCTGGGTCACCGGGCATGGCCTACCGGGGTGTGTGTGTCTCCCTCTGCAGCGCCTCCCTTCAGCCTGTGCTTCCTGTCCACCATGAGGTAAGCAGCCTTCCCCTCCCTGGGCTCTTCCCAGACTCAAGACGGCTGACTGCAGACCGGAACCTCTACAAACTGTGAGCCAAAGTAAACCTCTCCTCTTTTATGTTGTGGGAGTCAGGTGTCACATCTCATCTACAAGGAAACTGACTACAATACCCAGTTCTCAACACGTCAGTGGCCCAGAGCCACTACAACTGCGTTTCCTCAAATCAAAGAACATGACAACTACTGACATGCCTTTCCATCTTACTTCATTTTCAACTGGGATCCACCAGAGTCAGGGATACTAAAAGCTATTCCCTCCTTCAGAAAATCTACTACCCTTAGGTGCCCCAAAATTCCTGCAAAGTAGAAGGCCTACAGATGTAGAAGTGAGTTCCCATTTGAAAACAAAAGAGGAAGCCCTGTCTGTGATAAGCAGATTCTAAAGCAGTTTTCAACCCTAAAACTAAAACACTGCAGAGTATGAGAAAAAAATACAGTAAGTGGATAAAACTACCCCATAACAAAAAGATGCCACAATGATCTCCCTTCTCCACGAAAACAGAACAAAAGAGTGATCACAAACCCTGAGAGGTAAGGGTGTCCGAGGGTCCCACCCACCCAGCCACTCATCCACGGAAACCCTCGGAGTCTTTCCTGGAGAAGTTTTACATCCGGACTGATCTGAGGGCGGAGGAAGAGGAGCCAGCGTTACCAGCACGTGCTCCCAGTTCTGCATCAGGTAAACGTCAGCCTGATCGATGATGAGCAGCTCGATGGAAGACAGAAAGTCAAAATCTCTCTTCTTCTCTCCTTCTGCACCAATGATGGTCCTCAGGCCCAGCGGGGAGGCGATGAGGACGTCGGAGGCGTAGAAGGGAGCGTAGAGCCGGATGCTCCTCTGCAGCATGGCCACTCCTGCACAGAGCACCGAGTGTGCACCCGCTCCCGGCCAGGGCCCCGCACCCCCACCTCTACCTGCCCCTCAGCACTGAGCTGTGCTCAGAGCTCGCCAAGAATCAGCAGTGACCACCCCCTTCCTGTCCGCAGTCCCTTCTGGCACCCCCGTCCGCGCTTCCTTCCCCATCACCCAACCTCTCCAGAGTGGTCATGGCTTTCAAATCTCCCATTCACTTCTTGGTCCACTGCCATCTGCTCTGATTCTCAGAACTCTCGATCTCCCCCAGGGTCTGATCCATCCTGACTCTGACTCAAGTCCCCAACAGCCCTCAGGGACAGGGCTTTGAGTCCGGAATGCACAAATACACGTCACACCCTGAAATGCTCTCTGGCTTGATGCAGTTTCCAACACTTCAACACTCCCTCTGACTCCTCTCCCTGACCGAGCCCCTGCGTATCTTTCCAGATCCAAGCACTTCTTCCTCCAGAGACCCCTCTACTCCTTCATTCTACGTAAAGCTTTCGGTATTATTTCCTATCCATGGCTTTAACATTACCTTTATACAAATTTGCATTTCCAGCCCAAATCTTTCTGCTGTGCTTCAGACCAGCACACGAGCTGCTGCTGGACATCTGAATGTGTCCCAAACCCACACTGCATCCACACGAAGCCTGTATCAGTGAGCCCTACCTCCTCCCAGGCTTCACCCCTAAAGGCCTCCGCACAAACGTTTCTGAATCGTTTTCCTCCAACAACTGCTCTTTGTGACTGGCTAACTCCTCTTCGGGTTTTAACCTTGTACAGATGGCAGTGAGGCGAGGGTGCCTTCCCTACCCTCGCCGCCCCCAGTCCAGAACAGTGATTCGCTCTCAATGTTCCCAGAAGCCCTGCAGCACACGCGGCATCTGAACTCCGCACCCCTCAGCTGGACTTCACTGCCTAGAGAACCGTAACTTTCACTCCCAGTTCCTTAACTTTCACTCCCAGTTCCTTAACAATGCTGGCCCGCTGCAGAGGATGAATGACCATGAATAACCTCACATGACCGTGAGCTTTCAAGGCAAACAACCAAGGCGACAGGAGCGGAAGAGCGGCCAGCAGAAACACAGCGAGCTAAGGAGTCACTGAGCAGCAGCAGTGCAAGACCGCCCAGCTCTGCACCCCCACCGCCCCAGCACCCCCTGTACCCCGATTGAGCTGCTCTTTGGAAAAGTGCTGCACATATGCTTTCCACATGGCCCAGGTCTCTGGCTCCAGCCACACCCGAGCTGACAAGGAAGCATTACCAATCCTGAAGTGGTCGTCGATGTTACCCATGAACACAGCCTCGTAGTCCTCAGGTCTCTTCAGGTTCGGCGGTCTCTCCTCGGGGTCTGACCCGTATTCGCTCTGAAATCTCTTTTTGTTGCTCACAATGATCTTCTTCTTGCTGTCACCCTCGAAGAGGCTGATGAAGAGCTGCACCACGCGCAGGGCAGCTTCCCGGAACGGCACCACTATCAGTACCTGTGCAGGGCAACGGCAGCCTTGGCAGGGGCAGGAGGAGAAACAGCAAGCCCAGAGGAATCTGCTGAGGACGGAGGGCTCAGGAGCCCTGCACGCAGCGGGACCCCTGGCAGACACCACGTCTGTGTCCCCTGACCCCGGCACACAGCAACAGGTCCCTTAGACTTGGGGCCCCGGGGCTCCACGCAAGACGCTTCTCAAGCAGAGGCACGCACCCCCCTCAGGTGTGTCTGCCGGCCAAGATGCAAGGATGGACACGCAGTCCTCACTCCTTTGTCTCCCAGAGCTCAGTATGATACTGTTATGCAGAAGACTCACTCAATAAATTTACACCAGGAAGTGAAGTAAAGAAAAACTAAAAAAGGCTCCTTTTAGGGTAGCTGCCCTGCATCTCCAGGTGTACTGCAATCTCGCTTTTCCTCTTTTATTTGGCTCTGCAGAGCCAGTTTCCCTCTCTCCTCACTTTTTCAAATAATTTTTGTCACCAATTAAAAAAGAAAACACAGAAGAAAAAGGATTAACACATCATTGCTTCTCTAGTACACAACCTAGCATCTTTTTCAGAAATGATCATAAAGTATCCCTAAATAAGACCAGAATTCAGTGGGAAGATGGGACAACTCTCCATGCTTTTAAGAAACATTCAAAGTTACCACTAAGAACAAAAGCAGAAGACCCTTAACAAATAATTCACTTTCATCACCAGAAGCAGCAGAGTCGGTGGACGGAACGCACGCGACTTGGCGCACTACAAACACAGTCACAATGCCTGTCTGCGTCTACGCAGTGCTGCGGGAAGCACAGAAGCCCATGACACTGCGGCCCAGGTGGAGGGCGCTGGCTCCCAGAGGGGTCCAGCTTGGCCGAGGGAGAGCAGCGGCTCACCTAGGCCCCGTCCATGCTCACGTCGAAGACGCCGGCTCAGGGCACGGGACAAGGCCTGGCTCCACAGCACGGCGAGGAAGCACAGAATTAAAGAGCGCTCTTTCTTTTCTGGGACCTCAGATGCACAGGCGCTCAGACTGTTACACAGATGGATGGGTCAGCAGCTTTATGGGGCAAACGGACTTCACTGTCCATCCACGCGTTTACACAGCGCACTAGAACGGACTTTAGGCTGCAGCTCCATCTCTGCTCCCCCTTCCCTGCCTCCCTTCAGCCTGGCGCTCTGACCCAGGGGACCACAGTTGGTCTGGCTTTGCTGCGGGTCCATCATGACGCGCGGCCTGCATGCCCGCGTGCTACCAGCTACGGGCAGCACCTCCAGCTCCACCCGGCCCTGTGGCAGCGCTCAGCACACCCAGCTGTACCGCCATCACTCACCTTGGGCCTGGTCAGCCCCTGGTCCCGGAAGTCATCATCGTCATCGCTCCACCCGGGCTCTGACCGCCGCCTGCTGTTGTTGCTGAGCACGCGAGCGTTGGCCTTGAGCACGTGGTTCAGCACGTGCAGGCAGTACACGCGGCGGACCTCCTCCCCGTTCCCCAGCGCCGTCTGCTCCGGGTAGAACAGGTCCCGGTAGGAGTTCATGATCAGGAAGAGCTCTTTCTGGAGGGGGCTGAAGGGGCACCTGCCTTTCTGGCCATTGGTCTTGGTCCATGTGGACTCCAGCGGCGCCTGGAGATGTAGGGACTTCAGGTCAACCTCCTTCGGGGGCTTAAACGTTTCCATCTTCTGAAACCTGGAGGAGAAGACGAGCTGCCCCAGAGTGGGCCACTAGGGAGAGAGACCGGAGCTCATCAGAAGGGAGTCGTGGCAGCCCAGGCTCAGAGGCTTCTACAGGCAATGCTGGCTAGAACCCAAGCCTGCTGGCTTCAAATCTGCGCTCCGGCTAGACGTGGGAGCACACATCTATCATACCAGCCCTCAGGAGGCTGAGGCAGGAGGATCACTCCGAGTTTGAGGCCAACATGGGCTACATAGTTCAAATCCAGCCTGAACAGTGCATTGAGTGAAAAAAAAAAAAAATCTGAGCTCCTCACCCACCAGTCTCACACTCCTCTGCGAACACTTCTGGCAGTAACTTTCAGTCTAGGAAGAAGGGGTCCTGAGGTCAAATGACTTTCACAAACATCACGATGCCTCATATGGGGAGACTCACCATGTCTGTCTGTCCCTTCTCCCTTCTCCCTCTGTGCCCCATCTCCCTTTTTCTAGTTTGTTTTGCTTTGAGATAGAGGCACGGTATGTAGTTTAAAGCTGGCCTTGAACTTACAGGGCTCCCGCCTCAGCCTCCCAAGTGCCAGGACTAAAGGCTGTGCCACCACACCTGGACACAGCGTACTTTTTTTGTTCCCCCCACAGTGTACTTTAGAAACCACAAATTCTGAAGAGTCTTTGGACAAGAACTGCATTCATGTTGATTAACTCAGAACTTTCGAAACTGATATAGGCAAAAAACAACTTCTTTTACTAAAACTATTTAAACACCTCCCCTTCGGACACAACTATTAGAATCCCAAGGAACACAATTTTCATGATCTTTTTCATTGTAGCAAAACAGCTGATCTAAAAATATAGACTTCAGCAATAAAAAGAAATGAGCTACGATAGGTAAAACACCCTGGTTGAAACCCCCAGGGTTTCTGAGTAAAAACAGCCACTGTCGCTGAAGTCACACCCTATGATTCTGTTTAACATCTTCGAAAACAAAAACCTAGAATAGGAGACCAGGTTACCAGGGTTAGGGACTGGCAGAGCAGATGTGGGGTGCAGTACTGGACCCACAGGGCGCCGGAGGCTGCCCGAGACCTGCTGCACTCTGACGGTGCACTCAGGACCCGACATGGACGCCCAAACTGAACACATCGAGACACACGGCCAGCGAGACGCCAGGGAAGCTTGTGGAGGCCATGGCAAGGCAACAGGGTCGCTGTCCTGGGTACCTCTGGACTCTGCTAGACTCAACCAGTGGGAAACTGAGCAGAGGGTGAGAGAGACGTCTGTGTGACTTCTAAACCTGCGTGTGCATAATCGTTACCTCATTTTTACAAATTCCAATCAAAACAAGGACAGCCAGGCCTGGCGCACACCTGTAATCCAAGGACTTGGAGAAGGCTGAGGCGGGAGGACTGCTGCGAGTTCAAGGCCAGCTGGGGCTACACAATGAGTTCGAGGTCAATCTGAACTACATGGAGACCATGTCTCAAAAAAATCTGAAAACAAACCAAAGCAGCCTGATCATGGGCACTGTACCCCATGGTGGATTAGTCCACTGATGGATTCAAGCCAACTGTGGTGCTTGGGGTGGCCCGGGTGGAGGAGGGGTCCCTGAGGCGTGGCCGAGTAGGGCCCTCTCTCACTGGTGCTCTGCCCTATGCTGCTTTCCGGCCACATGAGGCAAACAGCTCTGCTCCACCAAGATATCCCACCCTGGAGCCGGCTGACCAGGGACGACACCTGGAAGCCGAGTCAGAAACAAGGCTCCCCTCCTTCAGGCTGCTGGTGTCAGGCACTGTGTCCGGAGTCCACTTGCTCAGGGAAGGCCATGCCCCTGCAGGTGCCCCTCTAGTCCTGGCCTGCGTCTGCCCCCAGCACTCACTCCAGCCTCGCAGGGACTCTTCCAGCCACGCCTGTGTCCCACGTCCCTGTGAAACGAACTGCTGCTGCTGTACAGCACACAGCCTCAGTCGAAGTCCAAGACCACTGTTCCATGTAGAGTTTCACCAGCAGCACTTACTTTTAGCTGATGGGTAGTAATGGGGGTTGCTGGAAGCGTCTGAATTTCTTTTTCCTTCAGTTCCTTGTTCACATGTTGTACAAATGGATCTAATTCAGAAACACAGACATCGGCACACTTAGCACCGACGGCAGAGGTTCCCTGGTATTGGCCACGAGTGGCACGCTGATCTTTCTGGAGTCAACTCATCCCTTTCTACCCACCTTCTCCATCCTCCAGCCCACCCACACCTTAAAATTCCAGGCAGGCCCACTTCCCCAAACAATTCTCTGTGCATTAGTTCCCAGCTCAAAACCTGCAGAGAAACCTTTCAGCCTAAACTTCAGGGCACGCTGGGCTGCACCTTCAACCTCAGATTCTCTTCCCTCTATGCCTGTCCTGCCTCTGACCAAAGCGTCCCCCTCCCCTCCACCTCATTTCCGCACCCCTACGCATCACCAGGGTCACCCGGCTCACAGCGGCTCCTCCCTGCGCCCTTCTGTTCAGGCGGCGTTAGCTCCCTCAGAGGTGTGGTCCCCGCCCCTCACCTACACTCCCAACACGCACGCACATGTCCCATCTCATCTGGTGGACAGCAAGGTCCCCAAGGGCAGGGTCCACGTCGGACTGATCTCACGCTGAGAGACGCTATGGCTGAGATCTCAAGTGTCCCCCAGATGCTCTGTGCCCAGAGGCAGGGCTCGTGGAAGGTGCCTGGCTCACAGGGACCTCACGAGTTTGGCAGCTAAATGTGCCATCAGGAGGCGGTCCCGGTCAGAGGTGGGTTACCAGGGGGCAGGACCTGGAAGGGTGCAGCTCCCTCCCTGGCTCCTTTCTCTCAGGCTTCCTGGCTGCCAAGGTGCAGGCAACTTTCCTCCGCCTGGCCCTCCCACCATGCTGTTTCTGCATCTACGCCTGCTACTTCTGAAACTGTGAGCCAAAGTAAACCTCTCTCCACGTAGGAAGCGTTGGGTATTTGTTCTAGTGACAGGAAAGTGACTAAGACAAGACCAGGGAAGGTGGCTCATGCCTTTAATCCCAGCATTGAGGAGGTTGAGGCAGGGGCATCACTTTGAGTTTGAGGCCAGCCAAAATTACACGGTGAGACCTTGTCTCAAAAAGCAAAAAAGAAAAGAAAAGGAAAAAAAAAAAGAGAGAGGAGAGAGAGAGAAATTCCCAGTACTGCGTCAATCGCCACATGCCCCAAATGACGGCACTGGTTCCCTGGGAAATCTTCAGGGCTCTGCTGGTCACCCAGCTGTGCCTCCCAGAACCACTCTTCAGGAAACAGAGCAAAGTTAGATGACGTTCAGGGACGCAAACAGCAAAACGTCAGATGAAACACACCTCATACTAAATACCTAAGAGCCAACAACACAACAAAAATTCTAGGGGCCTTCTTTCCATATGGGCAAAATATCTAAATTTCTGGACAGTGAGCTTCCTGATGTTTCCTACAAGGTCTCCAAGTTTTGATGGGTCTGTGCGCCTATTCTATAAATGCTAGCTACTGCTCCCTCCCTTGCATAACAGCTAACTGAAGCAGATGAGCCAGACCAGGGGTAAAATGTTAGCTCCCTTAATGGCAAAGCTGAACTGAGGAAGGACACTGGAAGCAGGAAAAGCGATCAGGACAGAGAACAACCCTAGTCTGCCTCACCCCCAAGGCACAGCTGAGAACCTCCTGGGCTGCACACTGCAGAGAGGCCTCTGTGACCGTCCACCATGTGGTCACCGGCAGTGAGCAGATTGGGAGGCATGGGAGGTGGGGCCCACTCTGGCTTCTGAAGCTCTTCCTGGTTGACAGGACCACCCGACTGGCCTCTCCCGGGCTGCATCAATTGGAAAAATTAGTACCCTAACAAAAAATAACACAAGGTGTAGAAAAAAGGTGGGAAATATTTTCCCCTTCTTCGGTCTGTCCTGCTCAGGGAGAAAATCAGAAGTCTCCCTGGGCCTGGCTTTCACCACTGCCCTCTGAAGTCCCTTCCTCAACACTCATTCACTAATGACAGACAGAGGTCCCGCAGAAGTGTTGTCCCAGCTCTCGATCCAGCCACTAAACCACTGTCAGCTGCGGCTTATTCAACAGGAAACCAAATCAGTGCGTAGCCCCACGAGGCGCGGGGGACCCACGCAGCCCTTTGCGCTCTGACCTTGAGACACTTTCAGACAGAAGTTGTCTCCACCTTCCTCATCAAGAAAATTGGTCTCCAGGCTGAAGAGCGCCTCATGTTTCGCATCTGTGAACTCGGCTGGAGGTTTTTGCGATGTGCCAGGAGCCTCCTGATCTCCATCATTTCCCTCGGCGTCGGCACATAAGGTCACTTCTACAGTTTTGAGAAACATCTTGTAAAATTACTCATAAATGTAACCAAGAGTTCAAGGTCAGTCTGAATTGCATAGAGACCCTGTCTCAAAGACAAAATTAAAAAAAAAGGAGAAAGTTACAGAAATGTAGAACTATTATACAGATATGCACAACACATCCATAAAAACACAGGTCTGAAAAGTTATGGATAAAATGTCAAGTCTCTTAGTGCTGGAGACACAGGCTAACTGCAATTCCCTCTTCAAATGTTTGCTGTGAATACTTTTATAATCAAAAAAGTTTCCATTTAAGAAAACGTAAAGAAGCAATGAAGACGAAATGAAACCCAAACTAAAGACCCACGAACAAATCCTAGATCTACAGTGATGAAATATTATGCCAATAGAAGTGACTGATTAAAATATTAAGAATGGTATGTGATACCTTAAGGTACAGAAAAAAAGGAGGCCGTAAGGAAAATGGGCATTAAGGAAGGAAGATACAAAGTCACCCAGATGTATCAGGCAGCAGACTACTACCCAGCAGCAGTAAAAAAGGTCGGACTAGTGAGCACCAGACAGACCCGGGGGCTCCTGGTCTATGACTCCACTTGCAGGGATTTCTAGAGCAGACGAAAACAATCCACAGTGACAGAAATCCGGTCAGCACTGCCTAAGGCCAAGGGTGGGCACCAGACAGCTTCAGTGTCTTTGTCCCCGAAAATGCCTTTCTGTGTCATTCTTCCAGCAAACATGGCCTCCCTCGGGGAGGAGCAGCAACCTCTTCAAAACAGTCACAGGATGATGTTCTTCCTGAAAGACTCCCTGACACAGGAGTCTGTGTCTCGCTGGTCTGATCCTTTTTACTTACTGAACCCCAAAATACTCACTCCCTTGCCTCCCAGCTGACTCTGCTGCTGTCTCTTCTTCCTCACAGACATCGCTACTGACACATTCTTCATTCGCTTCTGCATCATCTACACTGTCTTCCTCCTCCTCTTCCTCCTCCTCTTCTTCAGAAGCATTCTTTAATGTAGCAAGTAGTCTGTGGTACCCAGAAACTTGTTCTGGTTCACTCTCTGATTCACTTTCAGAATTCGATGTATCTGAATTTTCTGACTAAAAAAGAAAATTTTAAAAACAGACTCTCATTTTTCTCATTATCACCCTAAGACTAAACAGGTTCAGACTTTCCTGAATAAAAATTACCTTTCTGCAAACACACAATCTTACCCATTTAATCAAGTCTGGCACCAAATTTACCCAGAACAGCTAATCTAGCTGTGATTATAGAAGATCTTATATTCTCTGAACTGCTAATGTCCCACATGGAAAGAAAACTGACTTTAAAACATAAAACTTTAGGCTAGAAGGAAATTTAACTTATGTCCCAGACATGAGACTACCTGTTTAAAGGAGCGACAGAAAATCCCAAGACAACAACAAAAATTGTACTTTCTTTAGATTTGCTGTATGGCAATAGGGCTACACCCTATTTGTCACTTCTATGGTAACCAAAAAAGACTCTTCCTTACGATTCACGAAAGGCCCTGTGGTCAGCCTTTCTACTAAGACCCACCCAACAGGCTTCGGATGGTTTTGGCCTCTGTATTAGTTATTACAGTGGCATTTTTCTAGACATACACCTTTAAGACTAAGCAATATTACTAAAGTAACAGCTTGCACAAAAATGAGAGCAGAAATGTAGTCAAGCTTTATTACACCACATATAATCTTAAAGGTAACAACCAAGTCCCAGCTATTATAAAGAAGGTACGGAGTATTACCAGTTTGCAAATCTGCGGCTTTGCTTCCTTTCCAGAAACCCTGAGAAGAAAGAGGCAACATTAAAGTCTAGCCACTAGCTTGTGCCAATTACGGAAAGTCTAGTGACACAACTTTAAAGGGTAAAGGCCATATGGGCCACTCTAAGCACATTGTAACCACAGTTATGTAAAAACTACCCATGCCCTTAAACAGGGATTGCGAAACTGACAAATGGACAACTGGAAATGAGAAATTTAACAACATCACGTGAGAAACAAGTCACTCAGTAACTGGCTCTCCTGCGAAGGAACACAACTTAGCAAATAAAGTACTTTGAAGTTAGCTACCGAGTAGCTCGATCAGCACCTCTAAATGCAGGCAAACAGCCCAAAGTGGTAGAGGAGCGCTAAATCACAGTTGAGGCAGGCGTGGCGGCGCACACTTTGGGACCCAAGCACTTTGGCTCAAAACTTAGAGCCCCGCCTGGACGACTTGGGACTCTCAGCAAAACGCTGCCCCAAATACACAAAGTAAAAGTAAACTTGTGAAAAAGGGCTGGGGATGCAGCTCAAGCTCCCAATCCTAGCTGATCCGGACGCTTCCCGGGCTCTGCCTCATCGCCGAAGACGGATCCAATAGTCCAAGGTCTCCACCAACTACTTTAGAACAGGAAACCCAGGAGCCACCTCAGGCGACCCCCGACCCCACTGCCCC